ACCTGTCAGTCCCACAGCCGCTCAGACCCAACCAAGTAAACACAGAGACTTATATTGCTTACAAACTGTATGGCCGTGGCAGGCTTCTTGCTAACTGTTTTTATAGCTTAAATTAATCCATTTCCATAAATCTATACCTTGCCATGTGGCTCGTGGCTTACTAGCATCTTTACATGTTGCTTGTCCTGGCAGCGGTTGGCAGTGACTCTTTTGGTCTTCCTGTTCTTTTTTTTCTCCTCTCTGTTAGTCCAGTCTATACTTCCTGCCTAGCTACATGCCAATCAGTGTTTTATTTATTGACCAATCAGAGCAACACATTTGCCATACAGAACATCCCACAGCAGCTAACTCCCCAGGGGAGACCTTGCTTTGGAGGAGGTGGGGAGTGGGTTGTGGGGGAAGGCTGAGAGGTGGGAGGAGGGAGGACAGGGGAATCTGTGGTTGATATGTAAGATGAATAGAAAAATCTCTTAGTAATAAAAAAAAGAAAAGTAAAAGAAGCGTCTCTGACCAAAGTTGAGAGTGACCCAAATCTAAGGGTATAAACACAAATATTCAGAAGACAGATTATAGCATGGCCATTAAATATAACAATAGCAGTGTGTTCACACTTGGGGCTGTGATTTCCCTAGTTATAGGCTTTGGCCTTGTAAGTATGAAAGACCTCCTGTACAGTAGGCCTCATACTCAAGTAGAAGGTTCTTGGTTACCCTGTCACTGTCATGTCACTGTTAATACCAGTGGGCAAATTTCCCAAGCAGGCCAATTTTGTAGCACGCAGGACCTAGCAGTTAGGGAGACAATGTGTCTCTTGCTCTTTGCTGCTTCCATTGCACCTTCTGGAACTGTGTAAGCTTGCTAGAAGGAAGTTGGGTGGTGGCTTCAAAAAAAGTTTTACTATCTAGTTATAGTTTGAAAATAAGAGGGGTGTCAGTAGCCGCGTTGTTTCAGGTGACTCTCTGTGGCCTCTCTGACCAAAACTTATAGGGAGGTAACTTTGCTGGGCACACCTTTTCATTTACTGACTAATACCTTTTGAAAGCATCATTGTCCACTTGTGGAGAAACTTCCTCTCCAAACTCTTTTCAATATACATTATATTTCTAATTAGCTTACATACTAGTGTATTTCCAAAAGGCATCTGGAAATATCCATACATATATTTCAACATCCTATTTCCATCCTCACTTAAACTTTTAACCTGGATTATCTCAAACACCTATTTCTCATTACCTGTGTTCTACAATCTACTCTAATTACACAATATTTTACACAGGTGGCTATTACATAGGTTTCTGTATAGCATTGAATACACCCTACATTTAGATTAGACATTCCACCACTCCTTCATTTTCCCACCCCACTCCTTTCAATGTTTTATTTATTTCCTCCTCCAGTATTTCCCATTTTCCTTATGTTTTAATATCTCCCCTCCATTTTTTTTTTGGTTTTTTGAGACAGGGTTTCTCTGTGTAGCTTTGCGCCTTTCCTGGAACTCGCTTTGGAGACCAGGCTGGCCTCAAACTCACAGAGATCCGCCTGCCTCTGCCTCCCGAATGCTGGGATTAAAGGCGTGCGCCACCACCGCCTGGCATCCCCTCCATTTATGTGTATCTTCCCAAAGGGCTTCTTTCTTAAGTACCTGAGTTCCATGTAAAGTCCAGGTTAATCTTACACACAAAGGATTCAAAGATAACATCCACATCTAAGAGAGAACATGACATTTGTCTTTCTGACCTGCTTGTATTACTCAGGATAAGTTTTATCAGTTCCATACATCTAACAGTAAATCTCATGATTATAATTTCTTATAGGTTAGTAATATTTCATTGTGCCTATGTGGCACAATTTCCCCTTAACCATTATTCAGCTGATGGGCATCTAGGTTGATTCAGTTTCCTATTGTGAATGGAGCCTCAGTGAAGATGGATGCACAAGTGCCTCTGTGGTGGGGTACGAATCTCTTCTGTATGTATTCAAGAGTTCTGAACATAGTTCATATGGCAGTTCTGCTTTTATTTTTTTGAGAAACCTCCACATTAATTTCCACAGCAGCTACACCAGGTTGCACTCCCAAAAAATGTAAATGTTCCCCTTTCATTACATCCACACCATGATCTATCTATCTATCTATCTATCTGTCTATCAATCTATCTATCTATCTATCTTTCTATCTAAATAAATAAATAATAGTGATTGAGGTAATATAAAAATCTCAAAATGTTTATTTTCTATATTATTTTTAAAAATATAATTTATATTAGTTATTTTAAATAATAAAATTACATCACTTCATCCTTCCTTCTCTTCTAATACCCTACATATTCTCTAATTGGTCTCTTTTTCTTTATTATTGTTACATATAAATATGCATGTATTTATAAATATAACCTCTTGAGTCCATTTTTTTAAATCTCAGGGCTGACCCCTTTGTATTGAGTAACCAATTAGCGGGTCTCATTTTTTGCCAGGTAAATTTTCCTTCTCTCAGCAGTCATTAGTTGCCTATAGTTCTTATCGAGGGGTAGAACCCTGTTATATTTCCCCCTTACCATCATGGCCAGGTCTTATTTAGGCAGCAATACTGTTTTAATGTCATGGGTATAGCTTCCTTTCCATTTTTAGGAGACACAATCCCATAGTAGAATTTCTTGTCCTCTGGCTCTTAAAATACTTCTGTTTCTTCTGTAATGTTTCCTGAATCGAATGTCAGGAGTTGTGCTATGTTTCAGATTTATTCTTTGGGTTTTGGCTCCTGACATTCTTTTTATTTCTCCAGCATGACTTGTTCCTGTCATGGCCTCTGTTTCATTCATTTGCTACAGAGAGAAGTTTCTCTGATGAAGGATGTAGCTAGAGTTTTTTTGGTCCTGCCTGGACAAATCTCTCTAACCCGCCAGTCCTGCAGCAGCTCAGAACCAACCAAGTAAACACAGAGACTTATATTGCTTACAAACTGTATGGCCATGGCAGGCTTCTTGCTAACTGTTCTTATAGCTTAAATTAATCTATTTCCATAAATCTATACCTTGCCATGTGGCTTGTGACTTACTGGCGTCTTCACATGCTGCTTGTCATGGCGGCGGCTGGCAGTGTCTCCCTCTGTCTTCCTGTTCCCTCCTTTCTCCTCTCTGTTAGTCCTGCCTATAATTCCTGCCTGGCCACTGGCCAATCAGTGTTTTATTTATTGACCAATCAGAGCATTTGACATACAGACCATCCCACAACACTTCCCCTTTTCCTTTTTTATTTTTTCAAAACAATGAGCGTTTTAACTTTTGCACATTTCCAAAGCCAGCTTGGTATATTTGGGAATTTGGGCGTAGCTTCTCTTACTACTTCCTGCTGGAGGAGGGCGCTGTATCTTGTGGGGACACAAAGAAAATTTTAGGATTATGGAGTAGTCTGTGAGGGTATATTGTCTGAGCCAATTGCCTTGAAACGGTTCTGGATGTTGGATCATCTGG